CTCTTTTGGTCAATTAACAAAATGAGCAAGAGGACAAAAGAAGGCTGAAAAGCCTTGGTGCAGTCACCCATTGGGGCATTAAGCAAGGCTGATCCCTCTTCCAACACATCTTTAATTTAATTTCCCAAGGAAAAGTCTCTATCTACTCTTAAACCACATTCTTCACACATAAAATCAGATATTTTTTATCCTGCTATGTATGCTGCCTCTTTCAAGATGGTATCTGAAAGGTATCATTACTGAATAAAGAACAGAGAAAACAAACTGAATAGTTGGTTCTAATTATCTAAAAAGATCTGATTTGTAAAAAGTGCAGTTTTCGAGATTTGCAGTATCATGGCCAGTACCTTGAACAATTACATATATAATCCACTCTTCCACTTGAATTTGGACACATGAACCTGATGGATTACTGGAAGGTGAGCTTCAGTGTTAATGATGAAAGGTTTGAAAACAAAGCAGTAGTCTGGCTCTTACCATTCCCATGGCAGAATATATTTGTATAAGCCAGTATCTGCGAGCATTATTCATTTTATTTGGCATGAGGAGCACGCTCCTATGGCTGAAACACCATATATATGTCTATGTCTACACCTCACCATCCCCTTCCGCATCAGCTCGCAGATGGAGAGTTTCAGAAAGGATGGTCACAAATTTTGGCATCACCAATTCAGATTTTCTCCATCAAAGTTAAGCCAAGTTAACAGGGGGAGCAAAATAAGCCAAGCAGAACGGGGGCGGAATTTGCAGTGGCTACAAACAGAACGCAAACATGCATTGTGCAAAATCAACGTCAGGTTTCATTGTTGGGTTTTGGTGGTTGTTTTTTTTCCCCCTGGATTTGCAAGGATGTTGCAACGGAAACCATTTTCTTATGGACAGAGTTAAAGAGTTCAGAAAACACTTTTAAAAAGATAGTTAGGGAAGGGACATCCACGAGGCTGGGGCACCACATGGACCGCGTCCTGTGCCAGAGAGCAACATCTGTGCGAAGCGTGCGTGCGTGTGCGCGCATATACATTTCGCCCCATCATCCTAGGAAACGCAGCTGCCATGTGACCTGTAAGCCGGACCCAAGGTATGCCCTGAACCTGCGTGCGTGCGTGCGTGCGTGTGCGAGCGAAGGCACGCCTCCCCGGTGGCCGGGGCTCTCAGTCAGCCCCAAAGCAGCCAGGATTGTAGACGGGAGTCCAAAAAAGGGCACTCTGCGTGAGCTTTGCTCGTGTCTCCTCTCCCGGTGCCAAGGAAACACACACGGACACGGGGGACAAACGCGCACGCACACACCCACCCACACGGAGCACTTTTTCGTGAAACAAAAGGCACACGACGTCCCCCTCTCCCCATAGCCGTACCCCTTACAGCTGATTTCTAAGAAGTGCCCATAAACCCCCGGCACCGCCGCGCCCCCCGCCCCGCCCCGCCCTCCTAGCCCTCCGTGACCGAATCCTGGATTTGGCGAGGGCGGGCGCTCCCCGCCGCGCCGCGCCGCTCGTTATTCATGGCGCGGGGCGGGCCGGCGGCCCGCGCGCCAGCTCGGGGGGGGCCGGCG